ATGGCATCCATCCCGCTCCGCCCGGGCCCGCAGCCCGCCCTGCCCCAGCCCGGTAGCGGCAGCTGCTTCCCAGCGGGACCCGGGGGCCGTCACTGGTTTTTGGGTTGTACCTACGCAAGCGCCGGTCCCGAAGACCTCACCCTGCAGACAGCGGAGGCAGACCCGCGGGGAAGGAGGTATTATTAGCGCGTTTTATAGCCGGGGAGCTAAGCCACAAGGTCTGAGCCTCGTTAGCGCTGAGGCTCTCGCAGTGGAAAGGGACTTTAATGAGTTTTTTTTTTCCTCGCAGTACAAGTTCCTTTACAGGGCCCGAGCGCTACGAGGAATCGGGTGTGAAGCGACTCACCCGAGGTCAGGGGAAGAACTGGTTGCGGCGCGGGGAGCTGAACCCAGAGCTGCCCAAACCACGGTCCGCAGCGGCCATCTCTGTCGGCCCCTTCATTTGCAGCTCTCCCCATGACCATGGGGAGGTGTTGGCCCCCAGGGACATCCCCCCCCCTCCCGCCTCGGTCTTCGGGGTCTCCGCTGAAACCAGCAGCTCCCAGTAAAGGCGCTGGCCTGGAGCTCCACGTGCCAAACCCTCCCGCTGCCAACAGCAGCCAAAGCTTCCCTCGCGCTTCTCCGTCGACCGATGGCGCTGAACGGCGAAGCAAAATCCTACGGCGCGCGTGGGGAAACTGAGGCACGGAGCGGCAAACAGAGGCAAGGGCACGCGTGCCGGCGCCCACACCGGCTTCCTCACTTACCCACGGGGCTCGGGCAGGCTCCGTTCGTGTTGTTCAGGTCTCCCCCGAGCATCGCCCCTGCAAAGCAACGGGAAACACGGGGTCACCGTCCGCTGGGGAACAGGGTGAGCATCCCCTCCTTTCAGAGGGGAGGAAGAGGGGGAGCATGAGGGAGGAAGGCAGAAGGAAAAGGAGCGGTGTCGCCTTCCCAGGCTGAAAGTCCCGGGCGAAACGAGCAGCATTCCTGGTGATCAGGTTGGGAAACATTATCCAGGCAGATCCGTTTCCTTTGGGCGGGAGCCAGGCGGCGCAGGAGCCCGCTCCAAAGGAGGCGGTTTGGAAAACACTGCGGCTATTTTATCCCAAGCCCCTCTTTGGGGGGGGGGACGACACGGGGCCGGTGCTGCCGGGGAAGAGAGCCCCAACAGCAAAACGTGAAACACTATCTGCCCTGTAATGTTCGCACCGAATGGAAACCATCCCCGCGCGCTGCCAGGACGCTGCTACAATTCGGCCTCCCACGGTCCCAACGTTTGGAAAGCGCCGCCGCTCCCCGCCGTGCCGGGAAAAACCATACCAGAGGCCTTTTTATCCCCAATAAACTGAACGTTTTGCCTCGCCTGCAAAAAGATTTTCTTTTTTTTTTTATTTTTTTTTTCTTTCCTCCCTTTTTT